GTCTGATGTAACTTCATTGCTTTTTCAATCAGTCTGATGTAACTCGATTCATTGCTGCTTCAATTGATTGCTGCCCATATAAGAAGCTGCATAGTTTCGAATCCCTACAACTAAATCCCTCACTGTGTGGTTTAATCGCATTATGTGCGTTTTGCTTAACTTAAAACTGATCTCATAATAAGCAATATATTCATTTTTAAATGTTATGTTCAGTGAGACAGCACTAAATAATCTTGATTATCAACTATATAATTTTATTAAAGTGATATGTTCTGAATAGAAAACTGAAAGTGAAGAAGCAAACGAACATTATCACGTGTGATTAGCTCAGGTGCGAGTCCTGGCACAATGTCTTCTTTCCTCTCGTATGAACTCAAATCGATGATCTTCTCGAGCAGCTCTGTAATTATTGCTATTCAATTCATCAGCGTAGTTGACCCATTCAGACGATTGAATTATTGTATTATTGAGTGAAACTCGTACTTTTTTCATCACAGAATGCACTCACTCTGAATGGAATTGATTGAGGATGTTGAATTATAGCAATTATCAATTGAATTCGACATTTCTCTGAATTGCTTTATTACGATTCGTATTTCATCTCATGTTATTGAAATACGTGTTACTCAAAGAGTATTTGAATTTTAGCGAATATTTTTTGCATAAATCTGCTATTTTATGTCACTTAGACGAGCATTACTTCATCATGAATGAGTGTTTAGAGGAGTTTGGAAAATGCAAACACCCACAAGGTCTTAGCAGTTGTTCAGTGAGAACATCTACACGAAAGAAAAAACTCCTCATTAGTGAGTGCACAATGCAAATGAATGCAGTGACTAATTCAATCAGCAGCAGTCAGCCGGACTCGAACCAACGATGTAACTAACAATAATTCAGTCTTTACACCCCAGTCATCACTTAACCAACGATTGAGATGAGGATTTCACAGTGACAAACAGTTTTTTACGGTGATATCGTTAGGTGAGCGGAGAGAATGTTGACAATAATGAAGATGAACAAAATTGTGACGAGTTGTACTTTCCGCTTGAACGAATATGTGAAAGTATTGAACTACTTAATCCGTTTGGTTCTTAAGTGATTTACGACGGGAGCGATGAATCAAATTATGAAGATTATATGTAAGAAATTATTGACGTAATCATCTTCATACGGTTAACAAATTTCTATTGCACCGTTGGCGAAAAATTAGTGCATGAATTAATCCATAATGAGATGCGAACGGGAGCAGAGAATGAAAATTGGAGAAGAGTTTCAGAAATGCGAGAAATATAGAATGATAGCACTCAGTGATGTATGTATCGCACGGTTTGCTCTCGTCAAATGCCTTTCCGAGTATAGGTTTCGTGGAATATGATACCAACGAAGCCTTGGAAAATTTATTTGCTATGTAAGGTTTCAAAAAGTGTTTTTGTCGGAGATAAATTGAAGTTATCTGTGATAATAGCGACAATATTGGATATTTGAATTAGTAGTGTTGTTGATATTCCAAAAAATTTGAATAATTGAACAAACAAATGAACAGTACCAATACTAACGATACTCTTACTATAATAGTAATCATAATGAATAGTAATACAATCAAAAATAATAGTTTAATTAAAAAGCACTGAGCGATAACAAATGAAACTAATACGAGGTGCTTGTCGTTTCCTCCGTCCGATGCCAGCGGCTTCCTTCAAGTAGCCAATCGCTCCACCGTGAATAATTTGTCCAGCCGGTTCCAAATAGAAGCAATCCGATGTTGTATTGAACACTGGTGCTGTTACACAGTACGGTGTTAATGGCTGCACAAAACCAATGGCCAATGTGAAGATTATGAACGATGACAGTGAGAACATCAATAAGAGTTTACCCTGAAAAAT